CCATAAACTGAACCTAGATTAAGAGTCTTCCTGCTCTAATACTTATTCCAATCTGAAAACTCTGTAATTTTTAAATAAATAAAAACTTTTTTTTTTTTTTTTTGTAAATGGATAAATCTTTCATGGACTGGGTAAACTATAATTGTAAACAAAGTCTTGATCTTTTAAAAGAAAACCTTAATTTTGCTCACTAACTTGTAAGGTTTATAAGGTCTTACCAAAATATTTCTAAAAAGAAGTTTTCTACACTTACAAATGGTTAATGACAAGGCCTGCTCAGAAACACTTCTGATGCAGATTGTACTGGGAAAGTAGAAACAAGACTTAAGCACTATGTTCAATAATAATATCACTATCTCGTGCTCGTGTGGTCTCACTCACTGCTGCAGAGTCCGATCTGACTCATAGTGACCCCTCCTTGGGTTTCCGAGGCAGGATCACTACGGAAGTAGATTGCCCAGTCTTCCTTCCAAGGAGTGGCTGGGGGGTTTGAACCACCAACCTTCTGCTTACTGGTCAAATGCCTTGGGCACTATGGCACCAGAGCTCCTGTGCTTGTGTGGTAGTTACGGTTATATGTCAACTTGGCTGGGCCTGGTTTTGAGTGGCTAGGCAGCTGGATGTACTTATTCCCCATTGGTGAGACTGGTAATTAACTCCATGGTGGAATCTACTGGAACAGCTGAGTAGCTGCTTTAGGGATGTGGTCTGCTTCCCATACATAAGAAGCAACTTTTTTATTTTTGCAGTGTTCCTTCCCCTCCCCTCCCACCCCGGTAACCAACAAAGTTTCCTTCCATACATAAACCTTTCCTTGACTTTTTACAATATTTGTCCTTCTGATTGACTTATTTCAGTCAGTGTAATATCCTCCAAGTTCATCCACTTTATGTGGTGTTTTGCAGATTCTACATTATTCTTAAGTGTTGCACAGTATTCCATTGTGTGTATGTACCATAGTTTGCTTATCTATTCTTCTGTTGATGGGTACTTAGGTTGCTTTCATCTTTTTGCTATTGTACATAGTGCTGTGATAAACATGAGTATGCATATATCTGTTTTTGTCCTGGCTCTCACTTTTTTAGGATATATACCTTTTAATGGGCTTGCTGGGTCAAACAGTATTTCTAATTCCAACGTTTTAAGGAATATCCATACTGCTTTCCACAGTGGTTGTATCATTTTACACTCCCACCAGCAGTTTATGAGAGTCCCAATCTCTCCACATCCTTGCCAGCATTTGTTATTTTCTGTCTTGTTGAACTTCACTATTGGTGCTGGGGCATGATGATATCTCATTGTTGTTTTGATTTGCATCTCTCTAATGGCCAATGATCGTGAGCATTTCTTCATGTGTTTGTTGGCTGCCTGAATGTCCTCTTTGGTAAAGTGTCTATTTATGTCCTCTGCCCACCTCTTTTTTTTGTGTGTGATTCACAGGGTTTTATTTATTTACTTATTTTTTAAATTGTGTTTTAGGTGAAAATTTACAGAGCAGAATTTGTTTTACATTCAACATTTCGTGTACATTTGGTTTCACCCCCCAATTACCATCCCCAACCCTAACCCCTCTTCTTTCCCAGTAAACCCCCCCCCCACCTCCTGTGCCCTTCTTAGTTATGCACTCCTGTGTGTCCTGCTTTTCCTCTGTGTGAATGTTGCCCCTTGGGTGCCCTATGGCCAATTGCTGCAAGGGATGGATCTCCCTGGTTTCAGTGGTCTGTGTGTACAGCTTATTTACAAATGGGCTGAGAGCTAGCCCTTGTCTTCTGCTCATTTTTAAATTGGATAGTTTGTCTTTTTGGTGTTGAGGTGTTGGAGTTTGCTATAAATTTTAGAGATAAGTCCCTTGTCAGATATGTCATTGCTGAATATTTTTTCCCAATCTATAGGTTCTCTTTTCACTCTTTTGGAGAGGTGTTTTTTTTGAGAAGTGTTTTGAAGCACATAAAAATTTATTTTTTAGAAGGTCCCATTCATCTAGTTTATCTTCAGCTGTTTGTGCATTTTGGGTTATGCTTGACAGTCTATTTATGCCATAAGTTAGGGCCCCTAAATTTGCCTCTGTTTTTTTCCTTGAGGAACTTTATAGTTTTAGGTTTCACATTTAAGTCTTTGATCCATCTGTAGTTAGTTTTTGTGTATGGTGTGAGGCACGGATCTTGTTTCATTTTTCTGCAAATGGATATCCAGTTTTTTCAGCACCATTTGTTAAAGGCACCATCTCTTCCTCATTTAATGGATTTCAGCTCTCTGTTAAAAACCAGCTGACCTATAAGCAGCATCTTTGAGGAAGGTCTACAGCTTATGGCACACCAGAGCCCTGCATGAAGCTGAGTTGTTGTTCAGCAGCCTGACAATCTTGGGACCTTTTTTTTGCACTTGAATCAAGCCTGCTGTGTTGTTTTGTGATATTGGGACTGTACCTTTTTACTTGTTGACCTTGGGCTTGTCAGCCTCAGCAGCCAGCAGCTACCTGAGTGAAGAAAATCTTCAGCTTCAGTGGGCTAGGAACAGAAGGCAGAGCTGAAGCCCAAGGTGGAGGGGCTTTCACCCAGCCCCTGGAAGCTGGAACTTTGAAATTGGACTTCTAACCTCCAAAAACTGTAAGAATAAACTCCTGTTTGTTAAAGCCATCCTATTTATGGTCTGTTCCTGTCAGAGCCCCACTAGGTAACCAAAACAGTTTGCAAAAGACGTTAAAAAAAAAGATAAAAACCATTTTTAAATATATTCATTCATTTGTACTTCATAACCTTATGAAGTAGGCAAGCGAAAAAGTATCTCCACTGCTAGACACAAAAAATAAAATTCAAGGAAGTTAAGTGAATTGTCCAAAGTCATCTGATGAGGACATGGGACTGCCAGTTTGAGTTATATCATACTACCTATTTTCCCTTCCAGGAACAGTCTTGTAAGATGACATTTTCTTCTCTAACAGTCTACTCTGTATTAAACTTTTCTTCTTCTCTTTAGAAGATTAGGTGTTTATTATTCTGTCAATACTTACAACATAATGTTAAATGGCTAGCACTTTTTTTTTTTTTTGTAAGTTATACATGGGTTAGAAAAAGAACATGTTCTTTCTCTGAGTCAAAATCCATCCTAGTTTTCTGACCCTTGCTGAGATTAATTCACCAGATACTTACAGATTAAAAAACAGACATACAACACGAACTTCATCTACACCTTCATTACTTCATGAAATACACTGAAATATCTTAGCAAGAGAGAAATGAATCCAAAGGAGAATTGCCTGTCAAAATAGAAAATGCCAGTATTTCCTGGGTTACAAGCAATACTCACTTTATCCATTTCCTGTTTGAAAGTGGCAAACACCTCATTGCTTTTTGTCAGCGTGCTCTGGAACTCTTCAAACCTCCCAGCGTAGAGAGTAAGCTGCAAACAGAGGACAGAGTGGATCTGTTTTAGGGCTGCTTTCAGAATGCTTCCAGAACAAAACAACATGTCATTGTTCAATATTTGAAAAGAAAAATGATTTAAGGAAATATAACAGTAGCAATGTGTTCAGTGGTTATGATTGAAGTAGTTCTTTAGACACAAATGAAATAATCCAATATGTCATTATGATTTATGTCATAACTTGTACCAGCAAGCATTTATTGAGCACTGAACATATGCATTGACATATACTGTACCTATGAAAGTATTTAATAGGTGGATTCTGTTTTTGGGGACCTGCACTCCTAACAGGAAGACAGTCACAAAGGCAATTGGATTAGAAGGCACTGAGAAGTGCCAAGAGAGTTAAGTGAACTGGATGATCAGAGAAGGAGGTTGTGGAGAAGGCGAGCCTTGAACTTGGTCTTTAAAGAAGAGAAGAATGCAGACAAATGAAAAGAAGTGATGGGAAAACATGGACCAGACTAAGGCTAGGGCTGCTGCCTTTGTGCAGTTTGTACACTACCCAGTGGTGCTCCATGTAAACAACTGTCATCCCATCTCAGGCATTGTAGTCATTGTCTATTTACTAATATTGTGTTCTAACTGATAGCTGTCAAATGTCACTTTTCCTCAAACTCAGTCAGTTACATCAGTTTTCTACAGATGGAAGTAACAAGTCTTGAGGAGGCCTTTTTCTAATTTGCACAAAAGTATCAGATGGGTTAGGAGAGGCTAATCTGTGCCTCACCACTCTCCCTTCCAAGGCTTGCGTTTGGTGGGAATAGGGTGGCACAGGAGAGGAAACTGTAGATATTTGATTATTAGTGACAGTAGGCAACATGAAATCTTACTTTAAAAATAATATCAGGAGAGCATGTCTTGAGTGAGCAGAGATTTAATGTATGATGGAAGTTGGTAAAACCTCTATTTTCAAATGAGTCTTTGGTACCCTCTGTGTCCATTATCAGTTCCAAATCTTCAAATAGGCACAAAAATACCTTTTATGTCAAGAAACAAACTGTCAGTAGCCAGTGGCACAGAAGCAGCAGAGGCTGCACTTAGTAGACTGGGAAGATGGATGTTGGATTACTGGCCAGAGGAAGGCACCCACTGATCAGCTGTTAGATGAACTGAAGAAAACTGAGGAAAAGCCAGCTGGTTAGATGGTTCCCATTCCGGGGTAAGTACTAGAGGGAGTGCACGTGTGTAACAACTCTCTAATCCAGAAGATTTGCCATCCAGAATGACTTCTTCCCAAATGATTCAGAATAGCAGAGGTTTTATTGCAGAAAAGGGCATTAACAACAAAATAACACAAGTCCTTTCCACGGCGTACAGATTTTCCATAGAAGCATCAAATAGCACTGATGGTCATTTTACACTCACTCACTAGCACATTGAGTGTGCCACAGAGTTTGGAAGCTACCTCTGTGATCTCTTTATTTATCACAATTCCTTGCTATACAGTTTAAAGGAGATTGGTAAAGGAACAGCAGAGAGTTCATGGCCAGGACGTTGCCCTAGAGTTTCATACTTTGGCTCAAGGGACAGAAAACAATACTTACTATTATTATGTGCACTTCACTTTGACATATTTTATTCATTTCTCTTTCTTTTGCAAAGTACTAGCAGGCATACTAGTACTTGTACAATTGAAATTAATTGATTTCAGGGCCCACTAATAGTTAGGGCTCCCAGTTTGAGACATTCTATTCTCGAGTTAGCTGTGTGGAGCTGGCTAGCCACAGTAGCACTTTATCCCTTGGCCTAGGGTGGGAACAATTACCCCCATGTGATCCTGTTCAAGTTCTATCACAAAATTCCTTTATTTGCTTTCTTGGCCAAGACTCTTATGATAACCTCTTTTATGTTACTGTCTCCCCTGTCGCTTTCCAATTTATCAGTAATTCTCGCAGAGTGACGTGGGGCTCGCTGATACCATGGTTTCCGGACCTGGTCCTCCCACACGGGAGCCCTTCTGGTTGCGGGCCGCAGTGGGGTGGGAACAGGAGTGAGCGCGTGCGTGGTCCATCTCGCGGATGCATCCTGTTCAGTATTAAAAGAAGCTCCCGCACCCACTCGCGGCAAGTTCTCCTTTCTTTGTCAAAAGCTTCTTTTTGGTATTAATTGGGCAGACTTTGTTTCCTTGTCCACGTTTCCTTGTCGCTGGCTTGCTCCGTGGAGAAGACAGCGACGCCCAGAGTGTAGAAAAGCAGAGGCTTCTAAAGCACTATCGTCTGTAGGATTTTTCCAGCGACTGTCTGGTGGCCTAGTGCCAAAGGCATTTGACTGCTAACCAGAAGGCTGGAGGTTCAATCCCACCAGCCACTGCTCGGAAGGAAGGTTGGGCAATGCACTTCCTTAGTGATACCACCTGGGAAACCCAAGGATAGGAAACCCAAGGAGGCGTTGATATGAGTCGGGGCTGACTCCACAGCAGTGTGTTTGGTTTTGAGTTTTTTTGTGCCGATATTTTGCTGTCTTTCTACTTGACCTCTTTGTCATAGGTGGCAAAACTCTTGTGGGTTATGCACTTCTCAAGTTACCGACTCTCACGCCCACTTCTCATACTTTCTGTTGGCTTTACAGCTGTTTGCTCGGAGCATCCTCCCTCTCACTGTTACACTGTCATGATGCCCGTTTGGTTCCATGAGTCATGTTCCTCTCTCACTATGGCATTTCAGAGAGGCAGGGAAGGGACATCTAGAGGTCACCCACAATATTTCTGCTGCCAGACGCAGAAAGAGAAATTAACTCTTGTACGGTTAGAAATAATAATAATTGCCTTAGTATTTCACTCTTACAGGGACTGAGCAATGCACACACTGTTTTCACTGAGCACTGGATTTTAATAACAAACATCCAAAGGTTTTAGGAAACAGAGCCTGGTCCAGGAATTCTCTCCGCAAACCTGCGAGATGTGTTGGGGAACAAGTTCAATCACACAGTCGTGGCCAAAGGATCTGCTCTCATCCTGTGAGCATAGGGTGAGGACCGCTGCTTTTAAGGACTATGATGACATGGTTTTAACAATTTACTCACTGATCTCTCCCCTGGGCTTGTATTTTTGTGTCTGTGTTATTTGTCAGATATTGCTGACTTTCCACATCTACTACTGTATTCATCCTTATTGATCCAATGAACACTCTATTTGTAGTGACAATTTTGTCTCATTGATCATCTCTGACATTTACTCTATTTCTTGGTTTGTATAATTGAAAACCAGACATCTCTTTCCAGAGTGAGAATCATGTCCCCAAACTTGCAAGCTCTGGTCTTATAATCGAAAGGTCACTTAACCCTAGGAAAACACACAACTTCTTGTTGATCTTCCTCTTGCTTAAACCTTGGAAACAAGGACTAAATACTTCCCCTCCTGCCTTCCCTACCGCTTTAGAGACAGGTTAAAACTAAAGGAAGTGTTTTGAGTACTATGCAAAATAATCTGTGATGTAAATTGTTTTCTAGGGTTTCAAGGTTCTTAAAAATGTGTTGGTAATTTTCAAGAGGAATTTATTTAAACATTATTACACGTAGGGATTCAGATGTCTCTATTTTCTTTCTGATCATTAAGTAATTATTGGGATTCTAAGAGTACCATAAAGATATAAGAGAAAGACACAGATACGTTCCCACACTCAGGCTGCCCGGGTTGTCTGTGATGTGGACAACAGGGGAAGAGAAGAGAAGGCAGGCTTAACGTTGCCCTGGGTGGGCCACACTTCTTCAGCCTTGTTTTTTTCCCTGGAGCCATGAACAAAAGCTGAAAAGGCCTGTGAGATCATCTTTTCCAGTGGTTCTCAAATTTTTTCAAATAAAACCTTCTTTTTGTTCCATATAGTTTCCCATCTAGATCCTCACCTATGAAATAATCCTAATAATTGCTAATGTGCTAATTGTGAGGCATTGATTCAGTTGTTGAATTCTTACCTTTCGTGCAAGAGACTCAATTCCATTCCTAGCCAATGCCCTTCACACTCAGGCCCCACCACTCTGTCGGTGGAGGCCAAGTTGCTAGGATATGAACAGGTTTCAGGGGGAGATTCTAGGTTGAAAAAGATTAGGAAGAAATACCTGGTGGCTACTTTAAAAAATCAGCCAGTGACAATCCTATGGATAACGATAGTCAGATCTCCAATCAGTCATGAGGGAGGCATAGAAGAGGTCACATTTGTGCAGGAGGTTGCCATGAGTGGACGACTAACTCCATGGCCGCTAACAACATACTAATTAATAGTATTATAGTAATGATCTGTGATATGCAGATGATACAACCTTGCTTGCTGAATGTGAAGAAGACTCAAAGCACTTACTGATGAAGATCAAAAACTACAGCCCTCAGTGTGGATTATACCTCTACATAAAGAAAACAAAAATTCTCACAACTGGACCAATAAGCAACATCATGATAAATGGAGAAAAGACTGAAGTTGTCAAGGATTTAATTTTACTTGGATCCACAATCAACACCCATAGAAACAGTAGTCAAGAAATAAAATGATCTATTTCATTGGGCACATCTACTGCAAAAGACCTCTTTATTATGTTAAAGAGCAAAGATGTCACTTTGAAGACTAAGGTGTGCTTGACCCAAGCCATGGCATTTTCAATAGCTTCATATGTATATGAAAGCTGGACAACGAATGAGGAATACCAACAGAAGAATTGATGCATTTGTATTGTGGTATTGGCAAAGAATATTGAATGTACCATGGACTGTTAGAAGAACCAACAAATCTTTCTTGGAAATTTAACCGGAATGCTCCTTAGAAGTGAGGATGTTGCGACTTCATCTCTCGTACTTTGGTCATATTGTCAGAAGGGACCAGTCCCTGGAGAAGCATATTATGCTTGTAAAGTAGAGGGTCAGGGAAAAAGGGGAAGACCCTTAACAAGATGGATTGACACAGTGACTGCAAAGATGGGCTGAAACATAGCAATGATTATGAAGATGGCTCAGGATCAGGCAGTATTTTGTTCTGACTCGATGGCACCTAACAACAGCAGCAACAACAACATTATATTAGTATTATTATTATCACTAATAGTTGAAAGTTCAGTTAGGTAGGGATTTTGATCTCTCTTATTTATTATTGCATCTCTAACATCTCACTGCCTGGCTCACTTTACTGAAGGCACTTGGTGAACCACCACGTATCCCTGTTTTCTCCAGAATTCACGAGTTGGACCCTTTCAAGTTGGTTCAGAAGACGGCTCCAGCCTCACCCCTAAAGCCATGCTTAGTACTTAGAAGGTGCTAAATAAATATTGGTTGAATAGATTGTACTTCTTATGGGCCAGGCACTGAGGTAAGTGCTTTGCACTTACAGCTTGAAGACAAACTGCATATGTGAATTATATATTCATTACCTCATGTGGTAGTTAAGTTTGTGTGTCAACTTGTCTGAGTTGTGGTTTTGAGTGGCTGGGCACCTGGATGTAGTTATTCCCTGTGATGAGATTGTAATCACCTTCATGGTGGAAATTGCTGTGAGCAGCTAAGGAGCTACCATTGGGATGTGGCCTGCTTCCAGAGTATAAGGAAAAGCTTTGGGAAAGGTCTCTAGCTTTTTGTCACATTTGGATCCTGCACTTGACTGAGTTTTCACGCAGTGACCTGCCATATTGTCTGCCAATTTTGGTATTGTTCCTGGACTTGAATGAGTGACCTGCCATGTGCCTGTTGATTTTGGGATTGTGCCATTCTACTTGCTGACCTTGGGTTTGTCAGCCTCAGCAGCCAGCAGCTACATGAGTTACAAGAAGCCTCCAGCTCCAGTGGGCCTGAAGTAAGAGGCAGAGTTGAAGCCCAGGGTCGAGGTACCTTCACCCAGCCCCTAGAACTGGCACTCTGAATTGGTGCTTCTAGCCTCCTACACTGTAAGAGAATAAATTCCTCTTTGTTAAGCCACCCACTTGTGGTATGTCTGTTATAGCAGCACTAGAGAACCAAATCACCTCATTTTTCTTTTAAAAATTTAAACTTGAATAACTCTCATCCATAGCTGCTAAGTGAGAGCTGGTATAATGCCAAAGACAACCACATTTTAGATAGTAGATGTTCCCTGATTATGTGCTGTTATCCTTTTTGAAATATGGAAATAGTGAAAATGGATCCTCTCAAGGAGCATTCATTACAACATTCTAATTTTACAGGCAAGGAAATTTAGGTCCAGAGAGGTTAGGTGAGTTGCACAAAGTCACACAGCTTTTCAGGAGAAGATCTAGGGATCTGTCCCTGGACCCCAGACTCATTTGAGTAATGAAGGATGACTGACAAATGTTGGCAAGTCTACAAACCTTTGGTAGATGCCTTTTTGTTTTTAGGATGTAGGTAGGAAATTGGATCATACATTTATATATTTTTTTCATAGACCATTCTAGTCCTAGATCTTGATGCCAAGTGAATGCATCACTCCATAGCCCAGAGTCTACAGATATTAATCTACTCTTCTCAAGTTCATTAGCTTCATTTAGCCTGAGGGAGTAGACATTGCTTGCAACAGATTATGTGAACAATGCATAGTGTTAAGTATTGTCTATTGTCCTCAAGTCTTTGTGTTGTGAATGGGACAGAGGGAGAGTCAGAAGCTCTGGTGTGATTCTCTGGGCTCTTTTCCTCCAGCCAGATAGTGAAGCCATGCCCCCTTTCCACTCCCCACATCACTGCTTGCCACCACCATCTACCTTGATTTGATGGGTACATGACTGCCTGAAGGATGATCTGTGAGTTTTTGGTTTTTGAGTGAAGGGCCCTTTTGTTCCACTGTTGTTGTGTGCTGTTCAGTCTGCTCTGACTCACAAAGACCTTATGTACAACTGAATGAAACACTGCCTGGTCCTGCTCCATCCTCAGAACATTTACTGTGCTTGAACCCATGATCACAGCCACTTTGTCAGTCCATCTCGTTGACGGGGTTGCTCTTTTTCCTCCGACCCTCTGTTTTACCAAGTATGATATCCTTCTCCAGGGACTGGTCCCTTCTGACAACATGACCAACGTATGAGAGAGGAAGCCTGGCCATTCTTGCTTCTAAGGAGCATTCCAGCTATCCTTCCAAGGCAGATTTGCATGTTCCTCTGGCAGTCCATGAAATTCTCCGTATTCTTTGCCAACACCGCAATTCAAATGCATCACTTTTTCTCTGGTCATCCTTATTCATTGTCCAGCTTTCACATGCATACAAAGCTATTGAAAATATTATGGCCAGGGGCAGGCTCACCTTAGTCTTCAAAGTGACATCTTTCCTCTTTAACACTTTAAAGAGATCTTTTGTAGTAGCTCTGCCCAGTGGAATATGTTGTCTGATTTCTTGACTGCTGTTTCCAAGGTGTTGATTGTGGATCCAAGCAAAATGAAATCCTTGACAACTTCAGTCTTTCTCCATTTATTGTGATGTTGCTTCTTGGTCCAGTTTTGGGGATTTTTGTTTTCTTTATGTGGAGACGTAATCCATACTGAAAGCTGTAGTCTTTGATCTTCATTGGTAAATGTTTCAAGTCACCTTCACGTTCAGAAAGCAAGGTTGTGTCATATATGTATTACAGATTGTTAGTGAGTCTTCCTCCAGTCCTAATACCATGTTCTTCTTCATATAGTTCACCTTCTTGGATTATTTGCTCAGCATACAGATTGAGTACATATGGTGAAAGGACACAACCCTGACATACACCTTTCCTGGTTTTAAACCATTCACTATCCCCTTGTTCTCTTCCAATGACCACCTCTTGGTCTATTAGTAGTCAATAAATATTATAGTTTCAACCTCTATAGGATTAGTATTTTAAAACGATTCTGGTGTATTATCAAAAAAAGATCATATTTATGAAAATAATCCATAGTTGCTTTCTGTACACACATCGGAAATGTACACTTTAAGAAGGCTAGACATCAAAAATGTTATTTCAGGTTTTTTCTATGCAATGGTATACTTTATGATCTTAAGTTTCTTATTTGCTTTTTACTATTACTATTTTTTTACGATGAACAAATATTATCTCCCATAAGTCAGCATACAAACATTTACCTGTAAGTTATCCAAATCTTGAGTTGATGCTGCACAACTTGAAAGGCTTCCGATTTCCTAAGCTTCTGTGAATTTCCTCTAGCTCTAGTGGTGTAGTGCCTAAGGCATTTGACTGGTAACCAGAAGGCTGGCAGTTCAAACCCACCAGCCACTCCTCGGAAGGAAGATGAGGCAATCTACTTCCGTAGTGATACTGCCTCGGAAACCCAAGGAGGGGTCTCTATGAGTCGGATCCGACTGGACAGCAGTGAGTTTGGTTTTTTGGTTTTAGCACTGGGGCATTCCCTCTGGGGTCTTGTGGCAGGGTGAGTGTCCCAGAACCTGAGCGGGAAGTTTATCAGGGAGGCTGTGGAAACTGGGCAGTTCTCAAACAGATTAGAGGTCCTCTTGGGCTCAACCCCAAAGGTAGGAGTAAAACTGGACAGCTCCAGCCTCTCCCCAGGGTGAGCTGCTGCCTGAGGCTTTCTTTTTGAATTTGAATATGAATTTCCATGTTGTTGTTCACTGCACTGGAACTGTCCTGATTCATGGCAGCCACATCTGTTTTCTTGGCTGAGCTGCTGGGTGAATTCCAACCACCAACTTTTCAGTTAGCAGTGGATTGCAAACGGCTTGTGCCACCAGGCTCCTCTGAATTCCCATAGTCTAATGAAAGCATATATATGGCATCCCAAAGCCAGATAAAAATGATTCCTGCTTTGCTCATTATTTCTAATAGTTGATCACTGATGGGGCTAACTTCAGGTAGCACAGAAACTTGGGCACTGACTCTATTTTTCTAATTTCCACTTTATTATAAGTACTATCAAATGAGGACATTGTACATCTGAATAGTTTACATTTTTTTCTTACCTTTACAGGGTGATGGAGGAAGAGAAAGAGAAGAAATATGAACACATAGACACCAGCTTACTTATTTCAGCTGATGATTTTGGGACCATCATTTCTATATAGAGTCCCCGGGTGGTACATATGGTTAATGCTTTTGGCCACTAACTGAACAGTTAAGGGTTCAAGTCCACCCAAAGGTGCCTGAGAAGAAAGGCCTGATGATCTACTTCTGAAAATCATCCATTGAGAACCCTGTTGAACACTCTTCTACTTGAACTGGATTCAATTCTACAGCAACTGGTATATTTGTATGTGAACGAACATTTTGAGCAGTCATGTCACTAGAAAGATGGAGGGGTAGAGAGGATGTGGACTGCACCCCTGACACTCTCAGAGGGAGTGACACCACAATGACCCCATGGTCCATGGCAGCAGTCAGCTGGGGAGGACCGGTGCTGCAAGAGGAGGGCTGCCAAGACAATGCTGTCACGATGGTTGCTGTTACCCATCACCTAGTGTGGTAAGTTGACTCCACACCCCTTCTCTTCGCCCCCATACCAGTCAGGGTGCAGGTGGGTGGGTGGGCAGGCCTGATGCTCACCACTGGGCAGATAGGAGAGTCTCTGTCTTGGCCAGTGGGAGAAGGGAGGAGATGCCAGGAGCCAGGCTTCACAATAGTGCTTGGCCCTGTGTGCGTGTGGGGTCAAGCTGCTGGGGGCTAGAGGCGTGCCCCTGCAGCCTACCATGGGGTGGGGAGGGGTGTGACATCATGGGTTATGCACTGGGTAATACCAGCCCTAGTTAAAATTTGACTGGATGTTGTTGGCACAGAGTGTTTCTTGTTCTTACATAAGTAATACTGTGTTTTTATTTTACATAATAAATATGATGTTATTCTTCATTTCCAACTCCTGTCCCCTCACTTCCTCTACTACATGTAAGTTCTTCTGCAGACTTCTTGTGGCTCACAGACTCTACTTGGGAAGGGTAAGGAGAGCACACCCCACGCACAGTCTACCTATATGTCACCTGAGCCTGCAGGACTGTCTCTTGCTCCTTCAGCACTTTGGCCTGAAGCTTCCACTCTGCTGCCTGGTTCAGGAGCTGCGAGAAGAGAGGATAATAGGAAGATTGGCAAATTGTCTTTAATCTGCTGCTTGATTGTCATTGGTATATAAAACTCACTATCTTAGCTCGTTAATCCTGTTGAGTAAATATTTGGAACTCTGCAAAGAATTTAAGAAATCTGAGACAAAAATTGATCTAAAATGTTGAATTCTCAAATAAGACCACTTCTTTTAATGGGAAGGAAAAAAAGAAAAATAGTCACTAACTCAAGCATGCATCACGCAATGTGAGCCTCCAGGCACATTCAGGAACCTTATCTGGTGTCCTGGCCAGCCGCCGGCTAGTCTCGGCTTGAACATCTCCACAGCATCACTCTCCACCAGGAAATCCTGGGGCATTGTGTGAGCAACTGCTTCCTTTCTAGTAAGTCCTAAATTATTCTCCTAGATCACTGTTTGCCATTGTAGTATGCATCAGAATCACCAAGAAAGCATGCTAAGAATCACCAAGAAAGCGTGCTGAAATGGAGATTCCTTTCAGAGGATATACTTCAGGAAGTATAGGGTGGGGTTTAAACCTACATTTATAGCAATTATTCCAGGTGGTTTTGATATCTGTGGCACACGGATTACATTTTGAGAAACACTGGGTTAGAAGTTAGACCTATTGTTCCAAATCCTGCCCTCTGGAGATTTACAAAGTAAGTTTCATTCTTCTCCCACAAGGCAGCCCTTCAAATACAGTCAAGGTCTCCATATCTAACATGGTCAGAACTGGAAACTGATGGGTTACATTGAAAAAGCAGTTTTAGGCATAAAAATGACATATACATACATAGATACGTATATATATAAATAAATTGTGTGTGTGTGTGTGTGTATATATAAATAGAAATGTTACTTTAAGTTAAAATATAAAAATGTTCATTCACATGTTGATCTTTAGATATATGACTGTGGTCTTTGTTTTTCTTTGGTTGGAGTTCAAAATTTTCTTTTGACAAAAATCATATCCACAGTGTGACATCTAAAATTTCCAGTTAAAAATAATTTTTTTTTAAAGAACAGTGTTAGAACCTAAGTATATGTGAATCATATTGAATGAGTAATTTTTTTTTTTTTTTTTTTGTTTTAAAGTTTTTTTTTTTTTTTTTTATTAATCCCTCGGGTTGTCTATGTACAAGATCATATCATCTGAAAATAGAGATAGCTTTAGTTCCTCGGAAACCCAAGGAGGGGTCATTATGAATCGTCAAATCAACTTGATGGCAGTGAGGTTGTTTTGTTTTTTTTTTTTTTTTTTTAGAGTTTTAAAGTTTTCTAAAAGCTGTCTTTTATGGCTGTTCACATCTATAATGAAAACCATTTTTCACTATTTACCTTAATCTAAGCTTGCAAAGGGAGCTCTGGTAGCGTAGTGCCTAAGGCACTTGACTGCTAACCAGAAGACTGGCAGTTCAAACCTACCAGCCACTTGTCAGAAGGAAGATGGGGCAATCTACTTCCGTAGTGATACTGCCTCAGAAACCCAAGGAGGGGTTGCTATGAGTCGGGTCCAACTCGAGGGCACACAACAACAACAAGAAGCTTGCAAAAAAGCAACACAAAGATGTCATCTTGAGGACTAAGCCATGGTATTCTGAGTCACCTCATACACATACAAAAGCTGGACAACAAATAAGACTGAAGAAGAATTGATGCATTTGAATTAGGGTGTTAGTGATGAATACGGACCATATCATGGACTGCCAGAAGAATGGACAAATTGCCCTTCTTGGAAGAAGTACAGCCGAATGGTCTCTAGAAGGGACCATAGCAAGACTTCATCTTACGTATTTTGCACACATTGTCCAGAGGGACCAGTCTGTGAAGTAGGACATCATGCTTGGTGAAGTAGAAGTTCAATAAAAAAGAGGAAGACTCTCAACAAGATGGACTGACACAGTGGCTGAAAATGGGCTCAAGCATAGCGGCCATTGTGAGGCTGGTGCAGGCTGGGCAGTGTTTTGTTCTGTTGTCCACAGGCTCACTATGAGCTGGAGCGGACTTAGTGGCACCTAACAACAAGAAACTTTCAAAGCATTGCACGTACATTTCATCCGTTTGTGTATCATTCCACTATTTTACATAACACAGGAACATGTATAACTGAAAGGAAAAGTTTTGGAAGGTGTTATGGATTGAATTTTGCCCCCAAGAAAGGTATGTTGAAGTCCTAACACTTGGTGCCTGTGAATGTGATCTTGTTTGGAAATAGAGGCTTTGACAGTGTTAACAGTTAACATGAGGTCATACTGTAGGAGGGTAGAGTCCTAGTCTCATCTGAATGGTGTCCATATAAAAGAGGAGAAGAGACACAAAGAGATAGACAGGGAAAATGGCCACGTGTCCATGCAGTTATGCTGCAGCTGTAACCCAGTTAACACCTATGAAACTGGCAGAGACAAGAAATGATCTTCCCCTACAGCCTTCTGAGGGTTCCTAGCCCAGCTGACCCCCTGAATTTGGATTCCTACCCTCTCAAACTATGAGATGATGTACTTCTGTTCATATAAGCCATCCAATTTGTGATACTTTGCCACGGAAGAGTAATACAGGAAGAATAATGTTAGGAAACTAGTACAGGTGGAAAAGCTGATTCTTGGTAAACTCTATCTGCCCACAAGGGTCAAAGAGGTGTAGGCAGCATTGCTCACTCTTGGTTACTCACCACAGGCATTCAGTGTGCTGTGGGCATGGGCATCTGTCAGTTCATTTTATGGAAAGGATGAGGAACATCCTCGATTAATCTGGTCAGCCAGGTGGTCATCAGTTAAGAAGTAATTCTTGCATTTCAAGATAAACCAAAACCAAACCAAACCCACTGCCATTGAGTCGATCATGCCTCATAGCAACCCCCACTGGGTTTCCGAGGTGGTAAATCTTTATAGAAATAGATTACCTTGTCTTCTTTCCAAGGAGTGGCTGGTGGGTTTGAACCTTCTGGTTAGCAGTCAAATGCCTCGGGCACTGCACCATTTCTCTTTATGTTTATTTAACAAAAATCTTTCCAAGTTTCATATATTATTTTTATAATCAGAACAACCAAACAACAATAATATCATTATTTTTTTCAAGAATTTGAAGATACCTTTTTCCTTGTCCAAGTTGGTCCTTTTCCCACAGCTCAGTCTCTCGGTTTGTAAAATTGTTTAGTTATGTTCCTCTAGGAGTCACTGGGTGGTGCAAACAGTTAGTGGACTTCGCTGCTAACCAGAAGGCTGGAGACTCTGGTCCACTCAGAGGCACCTCTGAAGAACACCTACTTCAAGAGTGCAGTTCTGTTCTGCATGGGGTGCCATGAGTTGGAATCACTGGATGGCAACTGATTATGTTCCTTTATAGCTCCCAGGGGTGCACTGAAGACTAGTTATCTAGAAGTGTAATTGAGCCTGTATGAGAGGCCTGTAGCAGCTTCTCAGTGGAAACTCCACAGTCCTCTCTCCGAAGGTGTGGGAGCAGCGGTACCATTCATTCCCCTGTTGCCCTGAGGCGCTGTGTGTTCTGAGGAGGCCACTGGCAGGGAGGGAGGATGGCAGCCGCCCATTCTGCTTGGGGTGAGGAAACCCACCACTCTCAAAACGACGTATCAGACTTGGAAACCAGGTAGGTGGCCAGCTCAAACAGCTGAGGGAAGCTACCTCTCTTTGACTCAAATCTGCTGTTTTGGTAAAGCAGGATTGGAAAATTGAGCTGCATGCTAGTTTCTTGCCAATGTTGGTCACTCCACCTGACCCCCTAACTCCACAAACTTTTGCTTAGTTGTTCCTCTGTCATGGTGCCATCTCATATATCATACAACAAAGCTACTTATATCCTGGCAGAAGTATAACTTACATAAGTGGATAATTGCACCAAGAGTAGAGTATCTGTTTTCTTGGATTTTGAGTAATAATGGAGTGTTTCATTTCTAACTTTTAAGGCTAGGTTTTAGATAGATTTAATAAATTAATCTTTTTCTTAAGAGCATATAAACTTCTAATTTGTAAATTTTGAATACATGCCAGGTTATGTGCTCCAAAATTTTACCTTTCTTTACATATTGGAAAACTGAAATTATTTTAAAAATTATTGGTCTAGTCATTGAAATGATTCTGGGCTGATGTTAGGTAAATGAAATGCTCATGACTGAATACTTAATGAGCAAATTTTAATAACTGGTCTATTGACTGTGTCTTCCCCAGCAACAGACATGAGCTCTACCTTGAAGACACACCTCTGAGTGTAATGTACTGTCTCAGAGAGCGTGAGTTTGGAGACAGACACATGTGGATTTGAAATGACGTCATGGTTACTTAGCATCGTGTGATCTTAAACAGTTTGCACATTCTCTCTATGGTAGTTAAAGTTGTGTGTCAGCTTGGCTAGGCCTGGTTGAGAGGCTGGGTGGCTGGTGGTAGTTATTCCCCATGATGAGACTGGCAATCAACTCTGTGGTGAGATCAGTTACAAGCAGCTGAGTAGCTGCTTTAGGGATGTGGTCTGCTTCCCGTATTTAAGCAGCAGCTTTGGGAATGGTCTCTAGCTTATGGCACGCTTGAACCCTGCATGTAGCTGAGTTGTTGTTCAGCAACCTGCCATGCTCTGCTGATCTTGGGACTTTCAGTGGACTTGAATCAATGGCCTACTGTGTTGTTTGGCAACATTGGGACTGTGCCTTTTACTTGTCGACCTTGGGCTTGTCAGCCTGAGCAGCCAGCAGCTGTCTGAGTGAAGAAAGGCTTCCAGCTTCAGTGGGCCGGGAGCAGGAGGCAGAGCTGAAGCCCAAGGTTGGGGGGCTTTCACCCAGCCCTGAGAGCCTGCCACTTTGAACTCGAGCTCAAAGCCTCCAAATTGTAAGAGAATAAACCCCTGTTTGTTAAAGCCTTCCCATTTGTGGTATATTCTTGTCAGAGTGGCAGTAGGGAACCAGAACACTCCCTGAGCCTCAATTCTCTCACCTGTAGAATGGTCTTACACCCGTTTTGGTGTGTTTGGCAATAGTGAGATATCAGTAAACACAGCCACTCAGTTTTAAAGCAAAAACATTAGGAGTCCTCCTTGGTCCTCCCTTTCCTCACTGTCACCATCTTCAGTCCTGTAGCACTGCCTTGTGGTTTGACATTGATAACTTTTATCCATCTCCATCTCTCCTCTACTGCCGCCTCCCTAGTCCACCGCTCACTGTATTTCATCTGGATTGCTGCTGCACTATGGTCATGCTTTCACTGTGGTGTCTCCTTAGTTTATTTTCTACCCAGGAGACAAACTAATCTTTTAGAAATGCCAAGCATATTGTGTTAGTTCCCTTGCTAAAACTACCCAGCACTTTCCCACTGTGTATAGAGTAAAATCCAAATTACTTTCCAAGACCTGCAAAGCTGTGCAGCGTGGCCCTAACTTCATTTTGAGACTTTCTCCCTCTTGGTCAACATGCTTTTCCTCCTTTACCTTTGCCTACCTCTGGAGAGCACCAGGCTTGTCCCGGCGTCAGGACCTTTGTCCCTGCTATGGACCCTGGAACTGGAGACTTCCTTCCTGATCCCACCCCTTGCAGCTCCTTCTTCTCAGGTAGTTCTCTACTCAAGCATTTGCCCCTCCAAGAGGCATTCCTGGTCACCCACCCTAAGTTAGGTCCTCTCCTCCCTCCCCCTGTTCAGTTCCTCTTTATTTGCTTAGTGGCATTTGTTACCGGAAATGACCTTTTGTTGTTTGTTGACTTGTTTGTTGTCTATCTCTTCCTCACTTCACTCTAATCTCCATGATGGGTTGCAGCCCTTCTCTGTCTAAGATGTGTTCACAACTGTATCATGATTGTTGTTAGCTGTTGACGTGGCCCCTGACTCATGACCACTCATACACAAAACACTGCTGGTCCTGTGCCAGCCCCTTGATTGGTTGCAGGTCAGACCAATGGGACTCACAGAGTTCTCACTGGCTGATCTTCAGAAGTAGATTCCTCAGCCTTTTTGCCTAGTCCATCTCAGTCTGGAAGCGCTGCTGAAACCTGTTCAGCTTGTTAACATCATGCAAGCCTCCACTGACACATGGGTGGTGGCTGTGCTCTAGGTACTTTGGTCAGAAGTCAAACCCTGGTATCCCACATGGAAGGAGAACCAACGATGCCCCCTAGCATATGATATAAAACAAAAACCAAACTCACTGCTGTTGAGTCAGATCCGACTCATAGCTACCCCTCCTTGGGTTTCCAGGCAGTATAACTATGGAAGTAGATTGCCCAACCTTCTTTCTGAGGAGTGGCTGATGGGTTTGAACTGCCAGCCTTCTGGTTAGCAGTCAGATGCCTGAGGCACTACACCACCAGAGCTCCTCAGCATATGATAGGCTCCTGAAAAATATTTGCTGAAGGAATGACTATTTTATGTTAAAACTACTGTTGGCACACTGTCTTGCACTGGCTGGCAAATTTAGTTCTCCACCAAAGCACAGGCAAAACCCACTGTCTCGGAGATTCTCTGGCCTAAGGCAGCGCAGATATGCACACTGATTAAAACGATAAGTACGTATTCCTTTTCTCGATTGTGTCGCTCCTCTGCTTCCTTCATCATTTCTTGCGCCTGCTCAAGCTTTGCATCCACCAGCTTCTGCTGCAGTTCTCTGTGTTTAAATATTTTGTCCAGATGCTAAGGAAAAACAGGGTACACGTGTAAGCTTTATCCCTGATACTTGAAAAATGTAGAACAATAATAATACCAATACTTTCATGAATATCCATCTTCAGGGTTTACGATTTAAAAAAAAAACCATAGAAATCAATGCACTGGCATCATTTATGCTTATATTAGAGTCATAAATGGATGAAGTCCCCCACAGTTTGCACGACACAAAGGGAGCTGCAAACGGTGGGGGCGCCAGAGCTCAGCAATAATTTTTCTAACTCTGGCAACTGTTAGATACGATGCTGTTTATCACCCTAGACAGCACAGACGATATATTGTGATTATATCATGATCACTCAGTATGTTGGGTTTTGCTATAAATAGAAAACAACTTTTAATCACTATATTAATACAATTTATCCTTGTGGATTCTCCACATTTTTGCTTAAAAGGTTCTGAGGAAGCTCTGGGGCACCAGCAAGTGGCCCTAGGCCTGGGAGGGAGTGTGCTGCACTCTCCTGTCCCCCTGGGTCACAGTTGAATTGAAATGCAAATAGGCTGCTGCTTCCTCTGCACCTGGAGGCCTCTTGACTTGGTTTGTGAAGACAAACTTCCAACTGGACCTCAGTGTGGAGAACTTGTTGGTGATTACGAGTTCCACATTGGAAACGGACAGATGGACTTCTACACTTAAGTTTATCTAGACCCAAAGCCCACTGCCACTGAGTTGCTTCCAACTCATAGCAACCCTTTAGGACAGTACAGAAATGCCTCATAGGGTTTCCAAAGCTGTAAATCTTTAAGGAAGCAGACTGACTCATCTTTCTGCCTCAGAGCAATTTTTAGGTTCAAACCACCAACCTGTTGGTTAGCAGCTGAATGCTTCAACCACTATGGCACCAGGGCTCCTTATCTAGACCAATCCAGAAATATAGAACTAGGATGCCAGGGCCTGTCTTGGACACCCCTTCTGAGATCTCTCTGAAGGTATGGACATTTTCCCTGTAGCTCACTTTTATTCTCCCTTTTCTTTAGTCTGATCCTCTACTCAGAAGCCAGGTTGATTTTCGTGACAAGATAAAATGGTAGAGTGATGATATGACTCACTTGGAGATGTTTCTTGATTCCCCTAACTACTGCTTCTATATGCTATTGGCTCAGTTTCATTCTTGATAAGATCTTAGCTAAAAGAGCCACTTTGACTATGTTGTCATACTTGAAGGCAGAGATTTTTAAATGTAGGTCGGTCTGGGGAAAAGATTGTTGTTAGGTGCCGTTGAATTGATTTCAACTCATCGTGGCCCCATGTGACAGAGCAGGACTGCCCTGTAAGGCTTTGTAAATTGTAATCTTTACGGGAGCAGATGGCCAGTTCTTTCTCCCATACAGCCACTGGGGTGGTTTGAAACACCAACTTTTGGGTTAGCAGCCCAGTGCTCAACTGTTGCACCACTAGGGCTCCTTGGGGAAAAGAATGGGATATATTAAAATCATGACTTTGGGGAGGAGGTGCCAAAATGGGAGTTTACAAAACACATGAAATATTCTGATTTGGAGATAAGAAAAGATCTTTTTATTCTTCCAAATGTAAACGATTGAAAGTAAAAATGCCTGGGTTTTTGTGACATTGAAAGACTCTGCTTCTTCATCTATGTGAGATACATCATTATTCGTACTTGACACAATTAAATAACATAATGCATGTAAATACCATTCTTACCACATTGCCTGGCACAAACTAAGCACTGAGTAAATGACCCCTTTATTATTATAGTTATTACATTAGTATTAATGTTATTATTGGCTATGAGGTATGTAGAATATGGATCCTTGATTTAGATGACACAGTGATTCGTAACAGGGAATGTGTGAGATATTTTGGGGGTTACATAAAGAGGGTTTTAAAAGGGCTGAGAAGTTTGACTTTAAGGAAAACTGCCCATTGCCTACCACTTTCTGTTTACTGCCTTTGTTTTACGGCGATTCCAGTTTGAAGAAATCCTATCTGACTTTCCAGCCAGATATATTGCAATACCCTCTGTCTTTATTTGGGTTTGTAACAGAAATCCAGTCCAAAATATTAATGAATTGAGAGGGCTGGCCGTCTCATTCTTATTTACCAACTTCCCCACAGTCCCAGCCCAGCTCCGGATGTCTCCCGTTTTTGGAGTTGTTTGGTGTAGTTCTCACCTCCTCTCTGAGCTCATACTGATCGATGATGCTCTTCAGCTTCTCTGCGAGCTCTGTGTTCTCCTGACACAGCTTCATATTCCGCTCGCTCTGCTGCTCAATCTGGGCCTGGATGTCGGTCAGGGTGCTCTGGAAGTGACTGGTGATCTCCTTCCTCTTCTCTTCCTCATCGCGTGCCCGCTGAAGGGTTTCCTCCTGTCGAGAGCAAGCAAAATATTTTGTGAGCTGGTTCCAAGTCACCACAGGTTTATAGAATTCAGGATAAGGTCAATGAAAGGAGATTAGTCTATGGAGTAACTAGGGTGTTTTTTTTTTTCCTTCACAGTTCAGCCCCCAAATAAATATCTGAGCGAAGGTTTCAGCTGTGAGTACATAGTCACTCAGAGCAGGTGCTGTGAGAGCCTTGAAGTTGATAGTTGGTGATGAATAGGCTCATTTTAACGATGACAGGTCTCCTGCTGAGTGAATGAACGGCAGCACTTTCTAACAATCACACATCACACAGTTTTGATCTCTTGGCTGTGGCCAGATCAAAAAGCCACTCGATTTTGCTGATTGATGAGACAGATTGTGTTTTACTTTGGTTTGATACATATAAAAACCATAGCATATTAACTACGTAATTGTACTACCCATGTTTTGTAAATGTAAATGATCACAATATAAACTTGTTCTTAGTAAGAAAAAACTTTCATTAAATAGCTTAAATAGGAAACTAACATAGCTGTAGATCAATTACAGCAATTTAAAAAATAGAAGGAAATCTTTTACGATATGCTGGATATTTTATTTCTGTCTGAAAGAGCAATCATCTCATGTGTCACGTAGGGTAATTGAATGTTCGGTGTAAATTTTGAATCTGAAAGCAATATTAAGCCTCAAATCTTCTTAAACTCTAAAATGAAACATCTAATTTTCTCCTCTTCTGCTTTGTTAACATTGGAGAATTGGAAATTAACTTTTATATCATTTCTGTTCTTTTTTCTCCTAAATCAAAACTCTTCATTCATTGCTAACCAGTAACAATGTGCCCAGATTTCCTCTGTATCTATATTGAGAATTGTTTACTTAGTAATTGTTCTCTTCTTTCTTTTAGAATAAAAGAGTTCAATCTTGCTACATCATACCAAAGACAGAGACACTTATACTGCTGACAGGTGATACAGACATTTTAGGATTCCTTTCAGTTCTGATTAATTGTTAATATGAAAGCTTGCTTCATTATTGGCAAGTAAAATTATATTGGACTAAGTTGCATACCAAATTCAAATTATCTAACAGGATTGTTTTAGAGAAATACTATTTAAACAGAAATAATTGTGCAAATCTTCACCATAATGGGAGCTCTGGTGGCGTAGTACCTAAGGCATTTGACTGCTAACCAGAGTTGGCTGATCAAACCCACCAGCCATTCCTTGGAAGGAAGACTGGGCAATCTACTTCCATAGAGATACCACTTTGGAAACCCAATGAGGGGTTGCTATGAGTTGGAATTGACTTGACGGCAGTGAGTTTGGTTTCTTTTACCATAATAGCAGCATAATGTGATCAAAAGTAAAAATTGATGATGAAAACATATGCTCTGGAAATATTTTAGCTTATCATTAGATTTCCTCTTTCATCTACAGTATTACCCCCTTCTCTGATTTAATGTGACTCCTGATATCAGAATCATGTTTTATTCATCCTATAAACATTTGTTGAGTAACAACTTCTTAGAGATATTGCAGAAGTCATCTGTACTTTCTAATATAAAGGACTCAGTTCTATGAGATGTTTCTCCCAACTTTGTAATAAGAACACCTACTGTATGTCGTTTTTACTTGCTGTCAAGTTGATTCTGACTCACGGCAACTCCACGTGCACAGAGTAGAACCATTTCACAGTATTTTCTTGTTTGTAATTGTAGTGGTAGGACAGCACCAGGGCCTCTTCTTCCACTGTATGTTGGGGAAATCCAACCCCCAACCGTTAGGTTCATAGTCAAGCACAAGGTCTGCCACCTAGGGACTTCGTTAGTAAATGTATTTCATTAAAAATGATTGTAGCCATCACCTAAGAGAAACTGAATATATATACACATATATGATAGTGATTGTCCCTCATTGCTCCTGGTCGGCTTAGAAGTCAGCAAGTTCAATCATACAACTACAGTCTATGATCTTAATGCCACTTGCTTTTATAAATATTCCATCCATGAATGAATGATAAATGAAAGAATCATCTTATACTACCAAGAAGCTCTGAGTGTTTCACTGGCAGCTGGCTACAAATAAGAAAGGACAGATGTTAGGATAGCATCCAACACATGTCAAACCATTATAACACTCAATCGTAGTGCACAAAATTTCATCTTACATTTTACATTGTAATATTTTTCAATGGGATAAAAATGAATCTAGCAAAATCTTATTAAACTTGAGTTCATTGATGGAGAATTTGCAATCATTTGGACAGTGTCTAAGATAAAATTTTCTTTAGCAACTTTATTCATTTTGTTGTTGTTGTTATTTGCCGTCGAGTCAGCCCCGACTCATAGTGACCCCTCCTTGGGTTTCCGAGGCAGTATCACTACGGAAGTAGGATTGCCCAACCTTCCTTCCAAGGAGTGGCTGGTGGGTTTGAACCACCAGCCTTCTGGTTAGCAGTCAAGTGCCTTAGGCACTATGCTACCAGAGCTCCTACTTTATTCATAGTGAACATTAATAATGCAGATAATGTTGAGGGACAAAATCTAGAATAACTAAGAAAACAAACTCTGCAAGTATCTATTATAGTGTATGTAAGAGCTGCTGGTGTTCCTGGCACATAATCAATCCATAGGCATTCAGTAGATGTTTATTTAATGAATCAGTGAATTATTCATTTACAAGTCAGTCATATGAGTAGTTTGGACTAGATGATTTCTCTAGTCCTTTCCACATTAAAATTCTGGGATATCATGATAACAAATCCTATTTATTTCTTTACTGCAAATATGTTCCCTGAGATGTTGATTGTCTCTTACTGGGCAATTCTTTCTCAGTATAGTTTGAGGCTCAGATTTATTGCTTCAATTATATGTAGCATTCTTTGAAACAAAGCCATGTCTCAGACTTTCACTAGTACTTTTCTAAATTATCTTAAATTGCAAAGTTTTGTGGTATTTTTTTTTTTGACTCATTGAAGAAGCAATTTCAATAAAGAATAGTAAAAATTAAAATTTATAGTAGTTGAAACAGCCTGGATATGTGTCCTTTTAATGTATTTTCCCAAGTTCCTTGTACATTAAATTTAGATTCCAATATACTTAAGCTGTTTTACGTCTGTTTTGGCCAAGTAAGCTCAGACTGCACTGAGTCTTCTATAGATAACAATGATAAACTCTGGACAAAATGCAAGAAGCAATTTCTTAAAGGCATTGGAGAGTAAACAAAATTAGGAATATTCTGGAGGCAAGTGGATACTTATAAAGAAGGCATGTTGTTGTTGTTGTTGTTATGTGCCGTCGAGTTGGCCCCGACTCATAGCGACCCTTCCTTGGGTTTCCGAGGCAGTATCACTACGGAAGTAGGA